CTGTTTGTTTAACTGTCACATCTGCCCAAGACTCTTTACATCGTTCTCAGTGGCTGGGCCAATGTGACCTCGAGAAGTGCTAAATAAATATTAGTTGAAAAAATGTTATCGGCCTAGATTGGGGCAATTGAAAGCGACAAGTCAAGTGGATTAGCTGAATACGAATTCTACTAGGGACACAGAGAACTGTACCTTAACTGTGGATTGCAAGGCTTGAATTATTAACAATTCTGGGTTCACTGCACGTACACTGTAGAAAGCTATAGGCTCTTTTCTTTGACAACTACATGCCTTGCCTTACAGAATAAATCAGGGTTTCTTCAGCTTTCATCAGTTCATGTGGGATTGCCTTACCATCTCTCTGCTGGGAACAGAATCTAACTTCCAGAATAGCAGAGAAAGTCCCGCTCTGAGCTTAAAGCTATAATTTATACCAGGTGGAAATAAAGAACAAGAACTGAATTTATCTTCTAATCCCTTGTGACACCTCTTATAAAGAACTATTACAAAACATTTTATAGTTTTATCCATATTAAGTTCCTTGCCCAGCTGTATTTACATTATATTTGGAGTAACAGTTTGGGGCTATGTTTTCAGTGGAGTATCAAGTGTGGTGGTTATTGTACACAAGCAGCTTCACCTCAGGAGCAAGGAACGTGCTGGCTCTTCCCAGCAGCAAGGGAGAGGCCCCTGGCCTGCCTCAACTCATTCCACTCCTAACTCTGACAGACTATCCAGCAATAATGAGATGAAAGCCCCAAATCTCAAAGGCACAATGAATCAGTGCAGTTCCACAACAGCCCAGAGGCAGCAACCCAGGGAAGGGAGCCATTCTGAGCCATGAGTTCCCCCAAGCCTGAACTGGTCCTTCCAGCTTCACTCCCTTGAGACTGTGGACACATTTGAGAGGACCGAGGTCTCCTGACCATGGCCTCCACGTGCTAGGCACTGGGCTGACAGAAAGCAGTCTCCTGGGCTTTGTGCAAAGGAATCATCAGAGGCATCTAGTTAAAAGACAGGGCCTGATTCAGCAGGGCTGGGGTGGTATGAGACTCTGCGTGCCTGATCTACGCAACACGCTTTGAGCAGTATGCAGCTGAAGGGCTCTATCTCAACATTGCTGCACATCTGAATCACCTGGGAGGCTTCCTAGCACCATAGAGATGCCTACGCCTCACTCCTAATTAAATCCAGATTGGGGGTGGGGGGGTGCTGGTGCCTAGGCATCAGTATTTTTCTAAACCTTTCCCAGGTGATTCTTAAAGTGGTCAGGTTCAAGAACAGCTGATCTAAGGATTCAACTCACTGTGAGCTGGGAACAGCCTCAAAGAACATCTTCCTGGAAGTGGCCCAGACTTAACTCTGTTGGTCTTAACTGCTTTCATTTTCTTGTCTCCACTGACCAGTTATATCATGTGTTGAAGGTAATTAATTGCCACCTCTCATTTTAACTCCTTTCAACAAAGGAAATTAGCAGGACTATTCTTCCTTCTCTGTATCTCACCCCAGTTCCTGACCCAGGGCAGTGTACTTGACAGGTTAACACTTGGCGATGCCTGATGTTGAGGTGTCTTCCTCTCCCCAGCCTGAAATAGGCTCTAGTGAGCAATTATCACACCAAAAGAAAGAAGATTAAGGAGTCTGCAGCATTCAAAGACAGAAGAGCACTGAGAACCAGCTGTAAATGGTGATCTACTCTTGCTAAAACGATTCCTTTAGCTCAATAGAGGAGTAAACTTCCAAATGCACTTAGTGTCAGGAAAACAAACTGTAGTTTTCTTTCATTATTTGACTGGACTCAATGCATTCAAGTCATGAAAGGTGATGATTCCAAATTCAGAACAAAATAACACACAACAACAGAAAGACAGTTTTGCATTTTATCCTCATTTTTAACCTACAAAGTGTAATGTTGTCATGAAGTATTTTAATAAATATATTAAGGCTTAAGGTAATTACTGGTTTGCATGGAGGGTGGTTTGCTTTCTAGCACACTAGTTTACATTCAGAATCTTAAAAACGGAAACATTTGCCATCTTACAGTGAGGATACAGAACACTGGCTTGCCCCAGTTATTTTTTTTTTTTTTCACTCTGCAACATGTCTTTGCATTATCTTCCTTCCTTCTGTATCTGACAGACAAAGAATGACATAAGTTTTTGGTTGAGAAAAGCCAGTTGACTGGGATGACTAGAAATGTTAACTTTTTCCATAAAAAAGCTTTCACCGGATCACTGGGCAGTTAGTAATGCAGCTTACACATAAATAAAGCTGAACCAGGAGGCTTAAATCCTCATTAAACAGCGAGAAAAGCTGCAGACCACACGGAGGAAGGGAAGCAGTGAAATGGTGGTTTTAATACATCCCAAACTGGAAGCAGGAACCCTAGCACAAAGGGGGTTTGAATGCTCTGCCATCTGTAAGGAAGTGGCTGGCTACAAGCTACCTCACACAAAACACCCACTAAGGCCTTCCACCGAGATCTGCTTGTTATACTCAGTATGAATCCCCAGCAGGTACATCTCAATATAAAGGTGTGGAGGATACTGCTGAGGACCTCTAGGTCACCTAAGCAGGAACTGCAGCTATCAAACTGGATTGCCATCATATGTCCGCAGAGAACTCCCTGCCTACGAATGAAACTAGTAGTGCTCATCCCCTGTGCCCAAGGACCATCTGCAATGGAGGTGCTTTCTTGCAAGAAAAGCAGCAAACGCTGACAGCGTGTCCGATAAGAAGGACTTTTCAACAGTCACATCCCTCCGAAGACCCTCTAGATGGACTCCAGAATCCAGTCACTGCTGGAGAGGGAGGAGGCAGGCAGTGACAAGTCCCGAGGAGGGCCTCGGTCCCTCCTGTCGCGCAGGGAGTTCTGCTCCTGGAAATAGTCTTCCTCTTCATCGAAGAAGCCATTCTCCAGAGCATAAGTGCAGTCTGGGCTGCAGGCTGCTTGGCACGCCCCCTTGTACTCCTGAATCGACTCGTAAAGGCTGTACAGTTGGCAGAGCAAGGACATGTCCAGCTGGCGGAGACCAACCTTGAGGGAAGGGGTGGGGAGGTAAAAAACAAGAAGTCAGCACTTGAGTTTCATTTCAGTGGAACACTCAGCCAGCAATCTGCGCCTGCCAGCACATTCCTTCCACCCGGTGAATGATTCAGAGCATCACTTGGATGCTTTGGACTTCCAGCTCTAAGAATGCCTTAATTGCGTTATGCCCATACTCAATGATGTTACTCAATGAGTCCTGTGAGGATCGCACCTGTGGGGCAGCCAGCCCAGCCTGCAGAATTTACCCCGGAGCTCCTGGGTACGCCTGATGAAGCAACAGCATTGCACATCCTGGTGGCCCTAGCTGCTTTCGCTTTGGATGCCAAGAAACGAGTGTGTCATTTCCTCTTCCAATCAGACTCACAGAAGATCCACAGTGGCCTTCCCTGCTACTGTTAGGATCTGAGTGATGCAGTCATTTTCAACTCCCAGGGGCAACAGATTGCCTCTTGCCGGTGACAGCAGCTAGCTAGTCAATGTGACATCTCCCTGGAGCACCCACCTCTGTGCAGCTCAGTGGTCAGAGGTTACACTGCCTCCCTCTCCTCCAGGCAAGGTCAGTCTTACCCCAGATGGTTCTGGGATCCTCCCCAGAGCAACTGACTGAATACAAGGAAGCCCCATAAGATGCAGGCGCTCTACAGTTCCTCCTGAAAACTAGCCCCACAAAACCAGCAACAGCAGAACAAAGAACACTGACAAAAGTCAGGTACTTGTTTATCTTCCAGTTCCTCCCTTCCCCACCACCCATCCCAGAGAAAAGAGCACAGTCAGAACAGGAAATGCATCGTCTACATCAATACCAAAGAGAGAAGAGTTAAACCATGTGGAAATGCAGCGTAGACCAGCATCAGCGCCTCTTAACCTTTAAAGTGCATGAGAACCACTCGGGGAGCTTATTCAACAAAGCAGACTCTGATTCAGCAGGTCTGGGGCCACTGGGTGGCTGTGCTTCCACCAAGCCCCAATGGTGATTCAGTGATTCTGCGCAATGCTGCTGTTCCACAGACCCTGCTCTGAATCGCAAAGGGAAGAAACCCAAGAAGTCACCAGGGGACCTGCCAACCGCCTCTTGGCCCCTGAGCAAGGCATTTATCACCTCCGTGCCTTGCTTGATGGCAAAATGGAACACTCATTTCTCTTATGGAGCTATTAGGGTAATTCAATATCAATCCATTTCAATAAATAGGATTCCAGTGCCTCCTGGGCTAAAGCACTAAAGACGTGTGAGTACGTGCATGTAGAAAAGCACACAGAGTGTCAGAGGATTTACAGATTTTATAATTACCGAAATGACTCATTTATCTAGGAGTGAGATTTTCCACATAAGACTGTGTAGCTTTCACAAAAGGATGCTGAGGCCCAGGAAAAGTGTTCATCTTGTAAACAGACTGGGTGTTAAATTCCACGCTTATACTTCATACCCTCCAACTACTCTCAATTACCAAATGAACACTGGCTGCCTCTTTACTACGGCCTGAATAGACCATAAAAATCAGAAGTATGTCTTATTACATAGCATACACACACACACACACACACACACACACACACGCACACATTCAGAGACGGAGTCTTGTTTTGTCACCCAGGCTGGAGTGCGGTGGTATGATCATAGCTCACTGCCACCTCTAACTCCTGGGCTCAAGGGATCCTCCTGCCTCAACCTCCCAAATTGCTAGGACTACAGGTGCATACCACCATGCCTGGCTAATTTTTTAAAGAAATTCTTTGTAGAGATGGGGGTCTTGCCATCTTACCCAGGCTGGTCTCAAACTCCTGAGTTCAAGTGATTTTTTTGCCTTGGCCTCCCAAAGTGCTGATATTATAGGTGTGAGCCACTGTGCCCAGCCTACATAGCATATTTTGCTAAGACACATGAGAAGACTTCCAGATAGAGAGGTGGTTCTGTTGTTACCATGACTACTTGTGACACTAGAATTTCTACAAGATGACTTTCTTAGGAAGAGACCTGAGGCACAGGTCAGGAGCGTGGTCTCCAGGCCCAGCTTTGCCATTCTCTGTGGCTTGGTTGAGGTCCCGACCCTCCGCCAGCCTATAAAATGAGAGATTTGGGCTGGCTCATCTAAGGCTAGAGCAAACACTGTGATCCTATGTAAACTCTTGCTTCTCTGTCCTAAATGAACTGCACGCTAAAGAGAGACCGTTTCCAGGGCTGTACTGAGAGGGCAAATTCGTTCAGTGGCATCTCAAAAGTATACCTTGAATAGGTAAGCAATGGGTAGCTCAACAGATGCCCAGGCTGCCATGCCCAAGGGCAGACACCACCACTCGCTCTTTTTCTTGATTAGAGTTCAAGATAATGTATGTCTGTCAAGAGTGAGAGACAGCATATCTAGCATTTACGTTTTAAAAATTATTCATAGTTTGGGAATTTTCTATTTAAAAAAATGAGAGACAGAGAAAGAAAGAAGGGAGGAAGGGAGGGAGAAGTCAGTCAGTTTAGGATTTTTCTATTGAAAAAATAAATAAATAAAAAGTACCCAGAAGATACTGATGCCCAGTTCCAGCAAAGAACCAGGGATCTTGACACAAATATCTTTCTGATTTTCCTGATTTAAAAAAAATAAATTATATTTATTCTCTTGTAAGCTTGGAATTTCAGGCCAGCCAAGCAGAAGAGCACAGAATTAACAGTGCAGGCTCCGGAACCTGCCTGCCTCCCTGCCTGGGTTCAGATCTTGGCTCTGCCACTCACCAGCTGAGAACCCATGGATAAATGCTCAGCTCCTAAAAAAAAGTCAACAGCCTCTGTTGTCATTGTTGCTATCATTTCGGTGGTTTCTTTTCTACTCTGCTAGTGGGCAGACTCACCTCAGGCAGGAGCGGAAGGTGCAGCCAGGCTGGAGACAGGAGAACCCCTGTCTTACTGCATTCATTCCTCCTGCTCCTCTCCCAATCCAGCACAGAGGTGGTACATGAGAAGGAGCCAACTGGTCACCTTCGCTCAGAAGACAGCCAGCATAGACAGGCAGGGTAACAATGTGCCAGTGACATGCCTCGTGAGGAAGGAGGGGAGACTCTCAAACAGGAAAGAACTTGGGATATCTTACCTCAAACCCCAAAAAGAGGACCTTCCACACCAGTGCACTCCTCTCAAACCAATCCGATAATTTTATACAAAGCCAAAGCCTCCCAGCCTGTAAGCCCCACAGAGCCCTTGATGCCGGGTGTGACAGCTCAGCATCGAAACAGATCTAATTTCACTCTTTCCTAACTACCCTTTAAATATCATTTACTTTCTACCACCCCTAAGCCCTAAAACAAAACCCAAACCTGTCTTCGTCTCTCTCAGGCTCTTCCACTGTTTTTATTTTGACCTCCAGTCCACTAACCACCCACAGCCTTTCCTCTACATTTGCTCCTGTTTTCCAGGATTCCTCTGCAGAATTGCACCTGCATACCATCAACATGCCCCAGGAGTCTGACTCGGCCAGCTCTGACGTGCCTATCTTTTCTAGGATTGAATAAAAGGAATATTAACTTTAATCAAAAAAGTCAAGCCCTCTTGGCATCACATCAGCGCGTGCTCAAATCACGGAAAAGGTTCATCTGGAATCCTGGATCTACTTCCCTGCTGAGTCCCTCTGACACCAGTAGGGTGGCAAGACTCAATTTCTCACCCTCAGGAATGAATGATGGAAAATACCTAAGTAGCAGCAGGCACCCTGCTATTGGAGCAGGTCTGATTTTCTCCTTCCTGGGATGGTCTGAGGTTGGCCCAGGTAAACGCAGGAGCCCAAACCCTTCTAGGTTTCAAAGGCTCTCACTCCCCATGACCCCATTCCAGCCAGACACATGGCTCCAGGCTTTTCTCCTGACAGTGCCATTTCCAAGGTATTCCCTGGCCCACCGGGGTGATACACCCGGCAGGGAGTCGAAAGCAAAGAGGATCTCTCCCTGGACACTTCTGCACTGTAGCACCCAGATGACTCACAAAGCTACCTTGTCATCAGGTGGAACTCTGGCCTAGAAAGAAATTCTGACCCGCCTAGGAATACAGTGCAGCCCCGCACACACCTATTACACAACATGACACATGGCAAGAGTTCAGACGGATTTAACAAGGATTAGATGCACACACATACATATGCACATGCACGCACACGCCTACACACGTCCCAGCCTCTCAATGCCGACTTCAGGCACCAGACTAAACTTCCTGATTTACCAGAAATCCTCTAAATCAGCTTGGAGGACGTAAGGTAAGTCTTTGCACAGTAACCCAGACTTCCTAGCCCAGCCCCTCTTCCTCAGCTGTGGCTGTTTAAACAGTAACAATTACATTTTCCAGAGGGAGGTGGAAGATCGTTAAGCAGCTCTCCACCATCTGGTGTGACTGTTCTTCAGGCTGATGCCCTTAACAGCCCACCTGCACGGCTAGACTGTCCCCCACCACACCCCCATCCCCACTGCATCTATTAATGCTCCTCAACCATCCCCCACCATGCCTGATTCCCTCCACTCTTCGGACTGTGACTGGTTCAGCCGATGTTCATCTTCTCCCCTCACCATCTCTGCCTGTCTTAGGGCGTTTACTACTCTCTCTATTATCAATCAGTGTGCATACGAGTCTTCTCTCTCCTGACGCAGGACAAGCTCCTTGAAGGCAAACACCATTTTCCTTTTGGATCTCTCAGTACCCAGCCCAGAGACTCGCAGAGCAAACAGGCAGATATTTGGTGAATCAGTGAAAATGCCTGGCGGCAGAGATCTGACACTCTCCCAGAGAACATGTAGCTGCAGAAATGGCCTGGCAGTAGGGTGGTGCTGGCACCCACAGACCTCTGGCTGCATTTCTCAGGCAGTCACAGAGGCGCAGGCTGAATGGGCAGCCCCGAGTGCCCTGCACACCACACGGCGCCCTGTAGGAAGCACCAGACCACTGAGTCCCTGTGTGCTTCCCACCACCACATTGAGGGCCAAAGACACCCTTGAACCAAGTTCCCTGCAGGAGTGCTCTTTAGAGAGCAGATGTGGCGATCAGTCTCTCTACACTGAAGGTATGTGGATCTTGGATGCAGGAAAGGGACAGAGGGACCATCCAAAAGGACTTGATTGCAGGACATGGTTAAGTCACCATGAACAAGAACTTCTGACCCTTCCAGAAAATAAGAGTGGTGGGGGAGCCACTGAGCAAGCCACTCTGTGCAGAGGAAGCCTGCATCTCAACGATGTGCTCCCATGTGCCCTCAGAGGATGGCTGCTCTCCACATTGACAGCTGGATTCAGAAAATACAGCTCTCTTTGGAAAGCACACTTTTTAAAAATGTAGACAGGCTCATTTAAGAAAAACATGGAATGCTCAAACCCTGCAATTTGTGGTCCCTTATTCTCAACTTTAAATTCAAGAACAATCAGCAGCTTCCATGGCTGTAAAGCGCGAGTGCAGGTCCTTCCGCTCTCCGCGCAGGCTTCCTGCTTCCTTCCTGATCATTCACTCCTCTTCTCCCTGCCCAGAGCTCCCCTCCACCCCTCCCACAGCACACACAGGTGGCCCCGAAGCCCAGAGCATTCCCAACAAAGGGGCCAAACAAGTCCAAACCACCCTTGAAACCGCTTCCTTTCACTTGGGATTTTCAAAACTTAACAATAGGCTCCACACACAAATACACTTCAGATGGGCGGTGGCTCCCAGCTGGGTGTCACTTAGAGTCTCTGAGTATCTCTGAGTCTCTGAGGCTGCAGGGGAGATAGTTCTTCCTAACTTAAAGAAAGGACAATAGAAACATGACCACTAGGAAACAAGGCTTAACGCTTTAAAAGGAAATTTGTGTTGATTTAAGCCAAAACATCATGAACAACATTAAGATATATTTCTAGAAATTAAAAAACTGCCAGGTGCAGCAGCTCGTGCCTCTAATCCCAGACCTTGGGAGCCCGAGGCAGGAGGATCTGCTTGAACCCAGGAGTTCCAGGCCAGCCTAGGCAAGATGACGAGACCCTCATTTCTACAAAAATATTTTTAAAATTAGCTGGGTATGGTGGCATGTGCCTGTCGTCCCACCCACTTGGGAGGCTGAGGTGGGAGGATCACTTGAGCCCAGGAGGTTGAGGCTGCAGAGAGCTGTGATGACACTGCACTCCAGTCTAGGCAACAGAGCAAGATCCCATCACAAAAAAAAGAAAGAAAGAATGACAAAGACCCTTGCCTATGGCCATCTAGTCAGTGGCAGAGCGGGGAGGGGACACCAGGGCTGCAGGACTCTGAAATAAAGAGAGAGGTCCCAGTCTCAGCAGTGGTATAGCATCCTGTTTGGATCACAGGCAATTTTTATTTCCATGTTTTCTATTATGAAAATGTATTAACAACGAGAAAACTTTCACAGTTATCTTTTAAAAACACAAGGAATGAATAAGTAGATACAGATGGCTTACAAAATTATTTTAAAGACTTGGTAAATGTTCCAAATCTAATCACAGTGTCTAGTTTATATCTGCAGGCCTGGACTGTAACTGAAGAAAAAAGAGACTCAATCGATCATAACCTGAAAGAGACTCAATCGATCATAACCTGATTTCTGATAAAGGATGTGTTGACTGAAGGATGCTGCCCTGCATACTGTTTAGAAAAAGCCAAAGAGAGACTTCATCAGTGTTGATGCACTTGGAGACGGGCTATGTATGAGCTCATCTGCCAAGTTTGACAGAAACACCCTTGGAGGACTAAGCTCCCTGGTGGGTTCTGTCTCTGAGCTCACTCAACAGCTTCTGATGACGTGGTCTCCTACGCAGCATTCTCCTCCCAGGGGCAGAAACACACTCGTGTCATTTGGTCAGCTTCATCTTCTGCTAATATTTTAGGCCTGCCAAGCTAAGGACTAGACTCTGAAGGGTCATCAGGATTCGGGGACAGAAGATAAACCAGGCTGCATGACTGTGACCCCAGATTAAGCCCCATTAAACCCAAAGCTCACCCCACCTCTACACTTTCCAGGTAATTCCTCTACCAGCGAAGGTGGTTTGAGTTGCATTTTCTGCTGACTTACAAGTGAGGGGATCCACGTTGACACAGAGCCTGTTCTGGAATTTAGCAATTCTCAGAAGGACATTCTAGTTTATCTCTAACCTAAACTAACATTCATACAAAAACTGCCATACAAAAAAAAAAAAAGAATGACATAAGCCCATTTCCTCTTGTTCTGTCCTAGGTACAGATGAAGAAAAGCAATTGACCACTTTCTTTAAGAAACGCCTTTGGCCGGGAGCAGTGATTCATGCCTGTAATCCCAGCACTTTGGGAGGCTGAGGCAAGCAGATCACAAGGTCAAGAGATCGAGACCATCCTAGCCAACATGGTGAAAGCCTATCTCTACTAAAAATACAAAAATTAGCCAGGCGTGGTGATACACACCTGTAGTCCCAGCTACTCGGGAAGCTGAGGCGAGAGTGGCTTGAATCCAGGAGGCGGAGGTTGAAGTGGGCCAAGATTGTGCCACTGCACTCCAGTATGGCAACACAGTGAGACTCAGTCTCAAAAAAAAAAAAGTCTTTGCACATTCTTTTATTTTTTTCTGATTATAAAAATAAACACTCGTATTCAAATTGTATTAAAAATTCAAATGGTGGCCGGGTGTGGTGGCTCACGACTGTAATCCAAGCACTTTGTAGGCCAAGGCGGGCGGACCACCTGAGGTTGGGAGTTCAAGACCAGCCTGACCAACATGGTGAAACCCCGTCTTTAAAAAAAAAAAAAAAGCAAGAAAAAAAAATTCGAATGGTTCATAATCAAACAAATCAGTCCTTCTTAATTCCCTGTCATAAAACAGCAGACTTCAAATGTTTTGGTCTCGTTTACACTCTCAAAATTTACTGAAGGTCCCAAAGAGCTTTGGTTTATGTGGATTATACCTATCAATATTTACATTACTAGAAATTAAAACTGAGAAAAATTAAAATATATATTAATCCATTAAAAATAATAAACCCAGCTAGGCATGGTGGCTTACACCTGTAATTCCAGCACTTTGGGAGGCCAAGACAGGTAAAGCATTTGAGCCCAGGAGTTCAAGACCAGCCTAGGCAACATGGCCAAACTCCAGCTCCACAAAAAATATAAAAATCAGCTGGGTGTGGTGGTGTTTGCCTGTGGTTGCAGCTACTCAGGAGGCTGAGGTGAGAAAATCACCAGAGCCCGGGAGGCAGAGGCTGCAGTGAGCTGAGATCTTGCCACTGCACTCCAGCGTGGGCAACAGAGTTAGACTCTGTCTCAATAATAATAATAACAATAAACCCATTACATGTTAACATATATAACTTTTTTTTTTTTTGAGACGGAGTTTCGCTCTTGTTACCCAGGCTAGAGTGCAATGGCACAATCTCGGTTCACCGCAACCTCCACCTCCTGGGTTCAGGCGATTCTCCTGCCTCAGCCTCCTGAGTAGCTGGGATTACAGGCATGTGCCACCATGCCCAGCTAATCTTTTGTATTTTTAGTAGAGACGGGGTTTCACCATGTTGACCAGAATGATCTCAATCTCTTGACCTCGTGATCCACCCGCCTCGGCCTCCCAAAGTGCTGGGATTACAGGCGTGAGCCACTGCGCCCGGCCATATATAACATTTTTATAAATCTTTTCAGATGTCTGGCTTATCTGGTTCTGTATTTGGTCCTTTACGACGTGCTGTTTTGGTTGAAATAAACAAAGAAAATCTGGCCTCACACAGCTATGTAACTGGGAAAGGAAGGAGTATTTCAAAGCCTTTTCGGACAATTGTGGCTATTCTTCTTTGCTACCACCCTTTAGCTGATTACTGTTTAGTGTGGAATTTGGAACTATACCAATGAAATGTTCACACTGTTACATTAAAATCCATCCATCTCGCACTTTGAATGGATCTTTTAATATCAAGCACTAGTCATATGAAAAGGGTGGAAAATTGATTCAGTAAATTATGCAGGATCTTTCAAATGTTGGTACATCTTCTTAGATAATAACCGAAAAGTCGCATTTGTCAATATCACCATCACATAATTATGGACCCTCTGAAAGGATCTCAGGGGACCCAGGGATCCCCAGGGCCACCCTTTGAAAACTGTTATTCTTCAGATATCCACTTGTATTCGTTTAGCATATATTCCTCGGCACTATGCATACTCATATTGTTTTTTCTCTACTGGTACCGCATACACAAAGTTAAGTAAGTATTGTTTTGTAACTTTACACTCTAAACATTTTTCTATATACAAATATATTTACTATATTCTTTTCAACAATTCTACAGTATGCTATCACTATTAGAAAAAATCCTGGCCGGGCACGGTGGCTCCCGGCTATAATCCCAGCACTTTAGGAGGCTGAGGTGGGTGGATCACAAGGTCAGGAGATCAGCTAACAAGGTAAAACCCTGTCTCTCCTAAAAATACAAACAACAACAAAAAAACAGCCAGGCGTGGTGGCACATGCCTGTAGTCCCAGCTACTGGGGAGGCTGAGGCAGGAGAATCGCTTGAACCCAGTAGGCAGAGACTGCAGTGAGTCGAGATCACACCATTGCACTCCAGCCTGGGAGACAGAGCGAGACTCCGTCTCAAAAAAAAAAAACACCAAACGAACAAATCCTGCAGTACACATCCATGTGCAAGTGCTGTTATCCACTTGTGTGGATGCTTCTGTAAGATACACTTGTGAATATAAAATTGTGGGGACTAGGGGAGAATTTCTATAGACTTCTAAAACAGGCTAAAGGTTTTTCTGTCTCCAGAGTTCCTGGGAGAGGGTGACCATCTGTGTTAAGTGTCTGTGGGGAATGAGCCACAGCAAACAACAAGCAGCCTTTACGAGTCCTGTCTAATCATCACTTCCAAACACCAGGAACATGTGGGCAAAGGCCAAGGCGGCCAGGAGGCCAGGGCTCCATGTGGAGAATGACATTGGCAAAGGGGGCAAATATCTGAGCAGCCAGCATCGGGGCTCGCTTCCTGAGCATGGAGTCTGTGGTCTGTCTCGTTTCCTCCACATGATTACGAAAAGCTCAGTTCTTCAAAGTGGGATCTAAAGTCTCCATGGAGTTCACACAGACATTCCCAGAGTAAAACTGCAAAACTTCCATCTGCAGCTTGGTGGGAGTGAACTGCAAGGGGAGCACTGTCCCCTTCTTGAGCCCTCCCCTAAACATCCTTGCCCACCTGGCCTAAGGAGGCTACAGCCATGTGGATGAGACCAGGACCCAGAGCAGGGGCTGCGCCGATATCTGCAAGGTACAGAAATGCCGGGGCTATTGCTCACTTGAGACTATCTGCAAATGAAGAGGTGCCCACACTGCCAACAACGGGGGCACTTTACATTTACACTGAACAGACACATACCTTTAAATAACAGGGAAAACAAGGAGAAGAGTTGTAAGATACTTATGAGTTAGGAAAAATATCAATTTATAGTACTTTACAGGTAGGTACAGTAATAAAGCAGTTTAAAGTGGTCTTTAAAAAAAACCTTTCAATCTTTTGTATCTTCAAATCTTGGGATAAGAACTCTAATCTCACTTGGAGATAACATCAAGTGAATGAAGTCAGACCAGTGACCCCCAGACTGCCCCACCACTCCCCACAGACATGGAAATGCTTTCACACACACAAACTATTATATATTCTTTTTTTAGTTTTTGTTTTTATAGGGTGGATATTAGGATAGGACAGGACAAGTACAGGGTAGCAGTGGCCTGAAAATCTTTATAACTGTTTTAGACAGCCTAATTTTTGAGGAACTAAGCCCAAAAATAGCAAACTTGTACCCTTCTTCTTTTCTGCTTCCCATTCTTTGCATTCAAGGAATTTACAGAAACTAGGTATAGCTGGGAAGTGTCCTTGGGGACACCAAGCATATTGCTTGGTGACAGGCTCCGCACCTGTGCCCAAAGGTTATGACAGAGCAAACTTCTGTAGGCACCAGAAAGACTCACAGAGGCATGAAGGGTAGAGAATACTGTCATGGCCAGAAGGACCCTTTGTGGCATTTAATTCTCATTTTTCCAATAAAAGATCTGTAGCCCAAAAAGAGTGAAGTGGGTTGTCAGTACTATTCATCACACAGTTTATTAACACCAAATTCATGTGCTTCTCAAGTCTTAAAGGGCTTGCTAGAAATGCAGATTCCTTCTCCCAGCTTCTGATTCCACAAGTATAGAATGGGGCCCTGAAATCTGCATGACGGCAAGCAGCCCAGGAGATTCTGGAGCTGGCGGTCCACCGTTTGGGGATCACTGTGCTAGACTATGCTAGTAGAAAGACAAGACCAGTGAAGGCAGCCAGTATTAACGGCCGCTGGACATCCCCAGTCTCCTCCGACCAACACCAATCAAGAATGCTGCACTAGGAGTGAATCCTCTTATTCCAAATGGCACTTCCTAGCCTGACACAGTATTGGACCTTTCCCACAGCCTCTTTTAAAGACTAAACCCTCCTCTGTAAGACTACTTTCACATAAAGGATAAGGGCTGTTCTCCACTGGGGTGTCAGCTATTGAAGCTAATGAACTGGAATCCAGTTCACTGGACAAGCTCATTAGGCATTTAGTAGGAAAGCTAATTGTTACTGGTTTCAGAAATTCAACTTTTTTTCCCCTTAGGTTCAATTCTTTACACAGCATTGCAATTTGGGAATTCAAAAGTTCTGTGTGGATGACTTCCCACTCTGCACAGTGGGAAAAAAAAATGAGGCAAAGAGATTCCAAATCAAAGCTACTAGAACTTGCTGCTGATCACAGAAGCTGAACCCAAGAATCCCCAAGGATGCTGCCCTTCAAAAGATCTGACAGCCTTTGTGTCTCCACACTCTAGTGTGACTTGTAGTTACCTACAAGGTAAAGGGTCTAACCTGGCACAGGTGCTGGGAAGGGAGGTCTAGGCAGAAATCTATGCAAGGACTGGTGTGTGCCAGGGGTCCCCGCTGACACCCAGTCAAGGACATCCTTCAATCACATGCAAATATTTTAAAGGCCAACCAAGATCTAGTTAGCAAAGCTAGCCATCAGCTTAGCAGATAAAAAACCTTTCAAATTGTGCAACCATTGAGGGCAAAGTATTTTTAAATAGAAGATCTGCAGTAGACATCTACTACTTTAGCCGTCTGCTCCATTTCTGCAAACTGTCCTTTCTTTAGAGAATATCGTGTCCAACTCCATCCACATGCTTACACCACCTTATTAAAATACAATCCTGTCCTCGTCACTATTGGCTCAAACAGGCTGGCCAGGCCACCCAAGCTAGGCCAACTGGCATCCTTCCATGGTATTTGCAAACTGCAACGAAGCAGCATGGCCAAATGGAGTGTGGCCACTGTTAGCAGCCAGGTTCCAAAATGGAGGAAAAAAACAAAACAGTGGAGGAGGAGAGGCGAAGACCTCAGTGGACTTCCTGGGTCTCCCATAAGTCCGAGTTCTGGTCCATCTCTGTATACATCCAGCCTATAAGATTCTCCTTTTGCAAAAGCTAGTTCAGACTGTTTCTATTACTAACATAGAGTCTTTGGTCATGAAAAATGAAAACTAGTCTAAACTCAAGCAATTCTTTTTATGTAAAGATCCCCACATCTACCAGGTGTGATAAGCCCCTTAACATCTAGATATTTCCTATTCACCCTTAAACTGTCCACAGTACCTTCTATCTGACATACACCCAGTAATCATCTCTTAAACGTGATCTAAAAATACATATAAAAATAATCATCATCAACTTTTTTTTTTAAAGGGCTTTTTTTGTTCTTAAAAAAAAAAAAGGACTAAAAAGGAGAGGGGAGGAGGACTTCCTGCAGAATTTCACAGGAGTCACTAGAACAGGAGGCGTTGAAACTTGGAGCTGAAACCACAACTCTCCAAGACGTGGAGCACATTAGCAATTATGGGACACAGCCCTCTCACCCCGGGCCTCCAGCTCTCCC